TGCCCTTCCAGCACCTCGAGCAGGACTCCCGTATCTCGGTGCCAGACATATACATTACTGTCTGCAGGAAAATTTAACATGCATCGAAACAACGACTGAAGGAAAACGTGCCTTCGCTGCCGCTGATGACGAAATTGCTCTCGAACCCGCCAAAGCAGCTTCGGATAATATCTTTGGATTGTCGTTGGCCGGTATACTTTCGCGCCATTCGCCCCGTATTCAGGTCCCAAAGCTGGATGTCCTGTAATACTGTTAGTCGCTGGGAAGAAACAGTCAGGAGTGAAAGAAGCTGACATCTGGAGAGCGGCTAATGAGCGCATACTGCGAGTTTTGTGAAACGCTCAGACTCGTCAACTCCCCGTCAAACAGTGTTGACCTGCAAAAGAGATTGAAGACCATAGACGGGAGAAGTGGTAGCGAGGAACGAACCATTCGTTGCGCCTTGTTGCGAAATCGAAAACGAGCAGCCGATGTTCGTCTTTGGGTGGTGGACTCGACGTCGGGGCGCCATTTGCTGCCGGCGCGGCGGGGTCATTCTCCCGCGGGTCCACCGGTAGTGGCGCTCGCATGCCGATCGCCACGAGCCGCGTGAAATCCGGGGTAATAACCATGTGTGCTACACGCACAGGCAATATACCCCAGACGTCCCGTCGTTGGCCCTCCGTGTTCTGCCTGATAGTTAGCGCAAGGCACGAAATAAAGCACGGGAAACATACCCAGAGGACAATCTTAAAGTCCATCCCCGCGGACAAGAAGCCCGAGTTATCTGGAAGCCAGACCAGGGCTGTGACCTGTTCTGAATGCTCATCCAGCGTCCGCAGACATACCCCAGTCTGCAAGTGAAGGTAAATAAAAAGCGGGAATAAAGGGCGAGTAAAACCTTGGTATTCCACATCTTGATGTGGTGTTCCGAGCCAGCGAGTAATATCGAATCGTCCAAGGACCAGGCCATGGATATTACAGGGTACGGATGAATCAATACATGCCGCTGCTCCCACTCCTCAGGCTAGAAAGTCGCTTCAGTAATGTCCAGGAAAGTGTTGAGCAACGTACCCCATTGCCCCAGATGATAACGGACTTGTCGTTACTTGAGCTCGCGAGGAAATTACCATCGCGACTCCACTCGAGCATCCACACCTCATCACTGTGGACCTTCAATATCGTTGTAGTTACGCGCGGGAAACCAGTCTCATCACACTGGTGGTCGGAGAATAGCGAGAAGCCCGTCGTGCTGGTGGGCACATTATGATATACACACTGCTGTCGCTGGTAGACATTTGCCTGGTGTAGCAACGTCGCAAATCGTCGTGGAGGGACCATTGTTGATGGTGGGATATAACCTGAAGCAGGTTTGATGTGAGCGTCATTGAAGGGAGACGCGTTTACACACGCTGTAGATTGTCTAGCAGTATTCGTCGTGAATTTCCTGCTGCGCCATCCCACCCTGCGCGTTGTCGTAAATCCTCCGGTTCCGAACACATCATTAGGCTGCAAAGTGTCAACGTCATTGAATTCAGGTGCCGCTGGGAATTGTACCTCGCGAGAGTATGTAGCTGCTCGGAATCCACGTCCAGGGGCGCGAGCTCATTTCGGAGGACGTGCAGTGCATCAGTCGTCTGCTGCGCCTCCAATAGTTCCAGATATTTCTGCTGACTTATTAAAAACCGTGCGTCCTGCGGAGTCAAACGGGTCAGTTGGCGTGCTTGCGGGTCTGGAGTCGACCATTACCCAAAGACCCTCGCGATCTCGTACGCCGAGACGCTGTAGTGCATTCTCTGCTTTAGACCACCGAGCCTCGAGAATAAACCGCCGAAAATCCGCGACGTCGGAGGTTTCCATCGCGTATCCTGATTCTGCCTCTAGGGTTGCGGCGCTTTCACTAGCCGAGAACCCCCGATAAGCATGCCTGAATGAGAGAATTGGACCGGAGAACGCACATATAACCAACGTCTCGGAGGCTCTGTATCACAAGCCTTACAAACTCTTCCCGGTCCACATCCGAGTCGTCATATAGACTTGAGCCGGGTAGCGTTACACGCGCGACCGAGAGTGAGTGGGAGGGCGCAGACGACTGTTTCGAGTGGCCATTGTGCTTCGGCACTCCATTTCCCGCTGCACTGGCCACGGAGGCCCCGTTGGTGACTGCAGCGAAGCCGTTCCCATTCAGATGACCGTTCGAGGGTCCCGGGTGATCGAGACCAACCGACGACGGGCCCGCCACTGCGTCCAGAGATGCAGACGAGTCCTCTGGTTGTTCCGACTCGGGAAAGCGCATTGTAGTATAAGTTCGTGAAGAAGAGGGATCGATCGGGAGAGTGCTAGTGGAGGAACTCGGACTGCCGATGCGCTGCCGCTTGCGAGCGCGGGAAGGCTCTGGCTCTGGGTTCAATGGATAGGGCAGGTTAGTCGGAATATTCCCCAGGTAGCTGGTGCACACGGTACCGGAGAAAGTGGGGTCGGAGGTAGATGAAGTGCTAGAATAGTCTAACTCTGACCTGGGACGGGTAGAGGGGATGAGCGATGCCACAGCGGGAGACGGCTCCCGCGTAGGACGGTGGCTGGCAGGATCAATGGTGGCTGAACGGCTGCAAGCTAGATGGGAGGAGGAAGAAAGACAAAGAAAGCCCGGAACGATCCTGCCCGCGACTACATAACAAGCTCGACCATCAACAGTTCGCCTCCTCGTGTACCACCAGCGAGTCAAACTTTCTTGTTCCATGTAGTACTGAGTATACAATAAATGCGGTCTCTACATTGCGCTCGTCGGTGAACTCCTCAACAAGTCACCATTGCGGCCTTTCGGTCCGCATCCGCTATCATGACCTCCATCTTGCAGCGAGGCCGGTTAGGCGGTCGAGTACGAGGGGCGTGCAAGGGCATCATTGTGCGCGACGTCCATGCAGGTAGAGCGAGGAATTGGGTGGCAGCCGAGAAGATCTTGCGAGGGAACACGCCCACGAAACTTTGTAGATCAGAACGCTGCTGCAAAGCATCGTTAGGGGCGATCCGCACACCCAACGCCGCGCATGGAGGGTACCAGACATTGTAGGAAAAGGGGAGGCAGTCAACAAGCCACTTGAAATGCCACCGACGTCGAGTAACATCATAATTGAGAACAAATCGGGATTGCCCGGGCAACGGCGGAAATTGCGCAAGATAATGAAATACAACCCACGCCCGAGGTCGTTCTAAGCCAGAACTGGATTGATGTTCTCGAACAATGAACAATGATTCCGGTGAGACAGTCAGGAGATACGTCTGGTGTGCCCAAGAATCTCAGTAGAAGCAGTTCGAGATGAGCTTTCAAGGAATCCGAGTCGAGAGCAGCCCACGGTTTGAGTTCGCGTTTGAAAGCAACTTGAACCTTTTGAATACTTGGTGTGTGGTCCGCTGGAAGAGCACCGGGAGAAACAAGGGAAGAAGATAGAATGAGCCCGTCAAGGGAACATACCAGCGCGGCCGTGGATATTGAGGTGATGGGAGAAGACAGGGCTCAAACAGTGGCTGTGCACACGTTGTCTCCTTGCCTCAACCTTCCGCTTTCGATGTTCTTTCCTCTTGCCCCTAGGTCGCAACTATCTGATCGAAAACGCACCTTTCCTTTCTTCGAAGGAAAAAGCTCTGATTAAAACAAGTTCCACGAGCCTCTTATCGAACCGCGAACGCTTCTAGCGTTGAAATTCAGGTGGCCCGGGAACTGCCCCGACAATCGGGGACTGCTCTTTGTCGGGAATCTATCTGGGAGATTTTGCTGCGACGTCAGAACCGCCACTCATTGGCCTCTACTTCAAGTTTTGATGGCTCTTCAGGGATTGCGGTTGTTGTTCTCCATTGCTTTTCTCCCTTTTCTTTTGCACTCTACTCTACCCAAGCCTCTGAACCCGAGTCTAACTTTGACTGTCACTTGCACTATACTACTAACGGCGTCAGGTACTTGGGAAGATCGTAATCGGCGGCAGAAGGATCTCAGTGTGGACGTTCGCGGGCTCTCGGTGTGGTTGCACCTTACAACAGAGACCTGCAGCGGCAGATCCAGACAGCTGACTCAAGTATATTACAGCCTATGCTGCCCGATGTTCTGCTTCCACCTAGACGCGGAGGAACTACCGGGTGCCAAACTCAAAGCCCTCGAACCAGGGATAGCGGTACCTACGAAGAACAGCAGTAAGTACTGCAATGCAAGTCGGGTTTTTATGGGATACTTAGTTGGACTCGGTACTTTGGGAGCAACGTGCTGGCGTAGAAAACAACTTCTATCCCGACCATCACCTACTTCCAGCGCAGAATACTGTCCTTATCAAGTCCCTATGCTCACCCGTTACGCCAAAATTTTCTCTAGGCAGCGAATTAAGTTACGGGATCACGGAGAGTTCCCTGGAAAGAGACTGATCTTCTTCGATTTTCTTGCACAGGCAGCTCTAGCCGGATTAATCTAAATTTTGGATATGTTGTTCGGACACCATTACCCAATGTTCTCCCATTTTACAGAGAATACTCGGAACGGACTGAGACGAGTATCTGAAGTTCAACATTAAAGTCTCTGATTTTACCATCGGAAAGTTAAATTCATTGCGACCCCATTTGGTTTCAATTTATTCCAAGTAAAATCATGGCACGATCGCCTGCTTCCCCTGCATCGATATACGCTGTGTGGCAAACAAAGTGCGGGGAAGCTCAATGTAAAATCAAAACTTCTTTGCAAAGTTCTGTAATTTTGATGGCGACCTCAGCAGTCTCGCTATGGCCTCAAACCGAGTGCAAACGTTCTGCTACGTTGCAGGCGGCAACTATGTATGGTAAAGATGCTACTGGTAAGTGCCGGGCGAAATCTGACCCAACTTGCGGGCATCAAAACCCTTTTTTTTTTTTTGCAAATAGTAGTCCGTTCGCACAGCTGATTGTGCCTGAAAGATAGGTCGTGGACAAGATAAGATAGCGCTCCGTTCTTATCCTTATCAGGTGCGGCGAACGAGGAGAATTTTGTGACGTGCCTTCCCATCGGCCCAATGGTCTAGAAGTATGATACTCCCTTCGGGTTTTACCCGCTTGCGCTGCGTAAGTTCATTGGGAGTGGTCCCGGGTTCAATTCCCGGTTGAGCCCTTCTTTTTGAACGTACAGCTTCCGGAGAGGTCCCCAGTACCTTTCCGGGCCTTTTAGAAGGTTCTAGAAGTCCAGACTACCGCGCCAAACGATCTCAAACAAAACCGTTGGAGTCTTTGCGTTTGGCGAACCCTATGTAGCCTCTTTCAGGACCCCTGAAAATACCCTCTGATGCCTGTCGGCCGAAATTTTGAATTTGAGAGAGAGCCCTGGTCCAATTCGGATGAAAACTCGAGGTTTTGGTGTGCCGACCCTGGTAAAGATTTCGGATAAATTCTCGGGGTCAGCTAAGATGCCTGGTTGAATTCGGATTAAAATTTAGCTTGGTTTCGGCTAAGTTGCGGCAAGTTGAACTTTGGGCGCCATTTGCCGCCACTCGGCCGGTTCGGACAATGAAAATTCCGAGTATCTAGATGGTTTGGAAGACGCAGCGAGCAAAAATACTTAATTTTTGGAGGCAATTTTTGGAGGCCTGGCAATTTTGTTCGGATAAAAACTCGACCCCGCCAGAGGCCTAGGTTAAATTCGGATGAAATCTGCTCAGATTAGGGTCTGGATAGAAACTGCCTCGCCTAACATTTTTTTGGACAGGCATCAGATAGTATTCAGGGGTCCTCCTCTTTCTCCTTCTCCCAGAATATTTTGGAAAATTTACAAGTTCAGGGAACCTCGCAAAACGGCCTTGAACGAGACGGACGATGTGTGAGTTCACGCCGTCACTCCTGTCTGCACCCTTCGTACCAGACCACCATGGCTCTAGAATATTACAGAAAGCCGCGGAAAATATTTCAAGCACCTCTCACAGCGTCAGGAATATTATCTAGAGTCTCGCCACTCGAGGTTGAAATTGAGTGATAGATTTTGATTTCAGCAACAATGATCCAATTCAGCACCAATAAAAGTAAGATGTCCAATAAAAGAGTATCTGGATCCGGGATGTGTGCGGGATGCTTTCTTTGCTGCAGGATACTTGTTGAGTCACTGCCGGTCAAGCCGGGCCTCGGCAAGTATGGCCGTCATCGGCAAATATGGCCGGCATCTGATACTTCTGCCGGGAAGGCGGGCCGACTTTATTTAACGGCGGCATGGCAGCAGGTCCGCTTTAAACTCTTCGGAACAGCTCCTCACGTCCACACTCACATGAAAGGGTCGGGCGGGGCTTCAGCCGACATCAATCCTTTCTGCCGGCGCCAAAGTGGTCCCAGGCTTATTATTTTAATAAAAATTCAACAGTGATAAAGCAAGCTAGACTACTGTATCCGCTGAAAAAGCACCCTACAGACTCTTCCTCGTCGCGAAGGTTCAGGGACCATTGTACTGACATATTGGTTGATAGCACAAGAACTCTTAGGTGGAGTCCAGTAAAGTTCTGACTTTGTATCACTAGGCATTCTCGAACTACGTATAATCCGAGGGAGCGAAAGCTTAGGGTATCTTACGGTGAGAAGGAGTGCGGCAATCCTAGAAGTAACGTCAGATAGAGAGTGCAGGAAATAAATATTTAGGTGGCCCCGCAGTACTATACTTACAGGTAAAGTCGAAAGCTTTCCAGCGATGGAAACCAGAGAACAGCTTGAACTTGAATATTCGGCAAGATCTTGCGACAATTCACGATCAAATCGCCCAGCAATTATTTCGTGCAATGATGTTCGTCTGCGTTGCCACCATTTTGAAGAGAAGGACGGAGTACTCGCCGTCATCGATTTCACGCTGCGATGCCGTTCCACGGGCCTCTTGGCGGATTGTCAAGCGTTCGACGTCGAGGCCCGCGGATGGCGAATCAACCCTACAAATAGTAGGCCGAGAGCTCTTCGACATGCCGGTGTCGAGTTTTATTTGAGCTTCACCGTCGTGCGACTATTACCCGGAGGAATCAAGGTCCAAGCTGCGGACGGACTATTCTCGAGGGGGTCAAACTTCGTTCCACAGCCCATATTCTTGCCATGGTGCAGTGCCTCCGGAATCGCTTTTTTAAGGGTCAGGAAAATGGAAACTTCCAAGCTCCAGGCTATGTGAAAGGTGCGAGTCCCAAGCTCTGGAGACCGCCGATGCGTCGGAAGCTGTGACGGCCATCTAGATAGAGCGCCAAGCACGCAGATCCGCAGACCTGCAAGGCTGGAAAGTACGAAATCCCACTATAGAACGCGACGTAGGTGAGGCGGCTTTAGGATGCGTGTTCAAGATCAGTCACATGATGGCGATCGGCGGAGTCTCAACTTGTCTCCAACCGCCATCTCCTCGCGTGCTTGTCGCTGTAAACACCTCCATCGCGTGGCCCACGGGCGGTTCTTCCTCGCTCTTCTCGGTCTCGACGTCACCCAAGCATCCTTTGGACCGAGGTCATTGAATCTCGAGCCTCGCCGACTTCTGCCACATCACATCAAGCCGCACTATTCATGCCTCGCAGATCTCCAAGCGATATCAAGCAATATGGTTGGGGACGCGGGCTGTATGTATCCACGCTATAAAAATGTGATACGAATTCTTTGGGGATCACAAGCACAGAAGCCCCCCCTTGGCGAACCGCAATCGAGAATCTGCCAGGCCCAGTGATACATGACGGTGTAGGAAGCGGGGACGCTAATTTACTCCAGAACAAGAACACCTTGGTTTCTACGTACTTTCCGGTGTGATGTCATTGTATTCGACAGCGTTTCTTCATCCCGAATCTTCGATAAGGCAGACCATTTGCTGCGGCCGGGGGCTTGCATTTCTCGGCTCATAGCCTCTGCAACCGGCGTCACCCTTCGTTCTCGCATTCTACTGGCCCTGAGGTTTTTTTCTGGGACGTCCAGACAATTCCCGCCTCGGTAATCCGCTTATTCTCTGCGACCGAGATAAATACTCACCTGCCCTCGTTCTCATATTCGATCCCGACCAGGGGCATTTTAAATAACGCGAATTGTTCACATCGGAAACCCGGCGCGAAGCGTAAGCATGTATATTCACTTCATCCCCACGACAACACGGATGTTGTGTGGATACCTCAGAAAGGTTCGATTTCTACCGCCTCGAATTAATTTTCTGCCATCCTATTCATCGCAATCTTCAAGTTCTTCTTCAAGCGCATAATCTCCGCATCCTCGGTACTGGTTCGGTCGGCGATGGAAAATCTTCTTCGGCGTTTTGCTTCCTACCCCTTGCTTGCTTCCACATTGAATTATAACATATCTGCTCACCCTCTGAATGGCCTTCTTCTTGACAAGACAAGTGCTGTTGGCCATGGGGTTTTCGACCAGTCGCCATTCCTTCTTCGGCGATCCAACACGTCTCCGCAGTATTCAAAAACGTGTCGCGTGCTACGTATGCAAAAACGCGTCGCGTGCTGCGCATTCGAAATCGCTTACCCAGGCCGCACATCGGCGGAGCTCTCTCTGCACACCAAAATAAAATGGAGGATTCTTGCGATGCTTCGCTACCTTGGTCAGACACCCCTCCCTCCGGGTACACCTCCTCCTCCTCTCTAATTTAAATCGCGAATTGCACGGAACGCGCTTGTCGTGTGACCCCCCTTTTTTTTTTCGCTGGCCGTTTCGGACATGTTCGGGTTCGCGCTCTTCCTCTTCGGCCGGGTCTTTAACAGACCAAACGCCGCTCCAACGACCCCACCTCAAGTCCAAAGAATTAACCCCAAGCATATGTACTAAGCCTATTCAAGAAAAAAACGCGACTGAATAAATATGTGTGCCTGCCTCTCTAGACTTCCAGTTGAACGACGACGTTAACGACGCCTCGAGATCAGGATCAGCGGTGAACGACGTCGACTTCATAGCATCCCGCCATCAATGCTTTTCGTTCCTGGACAAGACAGACCGAATGCAGCTTAGGCTGAAACGGACTTTGTTTTTGCGCAGCGGTCACGATACACCCATCGCCGAACATCCGCTCAATTTGGTTCCGATGTTTCAACCGGACCCCCTCCCGCCTTTGTTCAAATTTGGATACCCCCTCCCGACCGCCACGGCATCATCCGGGCTATCCGTCCATCCCTGCCGACAAGCCCAAATCAATGCAAGCCCGAACGATTGGATTTTCAAAATCGAGTTTCGTCGATGCATATGCCGCGGGTCTATCTCGAACGCGAACACGAACTCGCAAAGCTTCAAACGCAACCGCTCGAGGGAACTTGAACGTCTACCTAGGAAGACTCGGACTCGGGCCGAGCTCGTGGATCCAGCGACGAACGCGCAAATCTGGCGCAATTAACGCAATTATCTATCCATCCCAGGCATACCTAGCAACTTCGAATCTTGCGCCTCGATGATGCACATCTTATCGCACTCGACGTGATCGAAATTCAACAAGTGGCACTGGAATAAATTACATTCAACATCTTTCGCTTGTCGTTCGCTGCCATCGCGCCATTTTCACACAAATGTGGCGTTTTTCCTTCAACCCCCTCGCCAACTTGGGTATCATCTCTGGTTTGGTTGAAACCTCAACTTGAGCCATCAAAAGAAAAGAAAAATCACAGGTGCGGTGGAACAATCGTGCTGCCCTCGAAGGACCCCGGTGCGTCGGGAAGGCCAACAAGTGGGATAATAATTAATATACGTTACAGAATTGTTTGTCTTCCCGTTCAGTTCTTCGGCCTCCAATTGAACAACTTCACAGGATACCGCCGCGTCCCTCGCACCCTTCCTAGTGGCCCTCTAGACCCCCTTTCCCCGTCCGCCTTGATAAAAAATAATTAACTAACAGTCTAGAGCGCGCCGCCGCCTCCCCCTCCTTCCCGGCGCCCTCCCCTCCGTGTCCCTCGCACAAAATCAAATCAACCCCGAACCGGCGACTACTTTAAATTTTTGCGCGGTGTTTCGGATGTCCGGCGCGACGTTGTGGATCCAGCCAGATTCTTATGTACTTCGGCCTTTTTTTACTGCGACTTATCACAACTTTATGTGCGTCGTACGTCCGAGAACGTCGTCGCTGTTTCCTTTCACGGCGTAGGATGGTTGCGCCCCTGCGGCCGCGGTCCGGTACGACGTTCCGAACGCCGCACG